CATCCCCAGGACAGCTGTCCACCAGCCTGGACTCAGCACGGCCAGCGAGCCTGGCATGGTGCTCTGTGCTGACATTACAACCTTGGGCCCAGTGAGGCGTCTCTTCGGATCCAGTTTTTCTGGCATGCTCCTGACCACTCTGCCCAGGCCTGGCGTCTTCATCTGCACATGGCTTAGACTTGACTACTCTCCAACCATGGCTCCTGGTCCTGCTGGCTGTGACCCAGCCCTCTGCCCTTGCCCTGAGGCAGGTTTGTGGGGTTTTAGCTTTGCATTTTTGGGGTGGCAGTCATTGGAGGGGGTGACATTCACAGCTCAAAGTATAAAAGATGGAACCTGCACAGGCAGCGAGGCGGGAGAGTACCACCTTCCCGAGGCCTGCCCACCTGTCCTCCTGCACCTGGACGTTCTTCCTCCTGGAACACATGTTGTTGTCGCAGGCCCTCATTGAGCAGGACCACCCCTGGTGTGTTTTCCTGTGGCCTCCTGAACTGTTACGCTGCCTGGAGTGCTGTTGTATGTTTCTTACCCGCGTGTGATGTCACACATCCTGTGTCCCAGACTCCAGGGGACCACGTCTGGTGCTCATCTCTCCTGTAGCCTCCTGCGTACCTCATACTTATACCTAATCTACAGATGTCCCGTTTTCTCTCCGAAGCCCCATGCTTGCACATGACTGCCCTTCTGCAAAAGCTGTCTGGCAGATGATGACCGGGTTTGTCTCTCGGCCTCCTTGGCAATTCCAAGACGTTAAACTCAGGGTTATAGAGGCTGACGGGTCACCTGGAGTGGTTGCCAAGGATACTAATCCAACAGTGCCACAGCTTTTTAGTTTAGAGTCTTCCAGAAGCACTTTGTGTAAAATGGTGAAAAATGGGGGGTGGAGTCGGGGTGGTGGGACAAGAAGGAAGGGTGCAGATGCCAGCAGAGGACAGCTGTGGAGGGGGTCCCGGAAGAGCAATGCTTGCCTGGTGCCATTGGCTCAGGACTCCCCGCATGTCCCAAGCCCTGACCAGCGCAAATCCTCAGAGCTGTGGTTGTGGCCTGCTGCAGCAAGGCCAGGGGGCTATAGCCAGACGAACCTGAGGGACCCGTGCAGGTGGTCCCTGCCCTTCCCGAGGGCTCTCCTTGTGGCCTTATCAATGAGGCTCTCTTCAACCCCTGCCAAACACCCCCAGGACCCCATTCCATCCTCATCTTCAGAGAGCTTAGCTTGCTGGAAGGTTCTGCCTCAGGCTGAACTAAGGGTCTCCTTGCCCTCTCACCATGTCTGATTCTGCCCTCTGGAGTCCTTGTGGCTATTACACTGACCCACCAGGTTCTGAAGTCACTTTCTACCGATTTCTCCAGATTTTTCCTCTATTCCTCACATGCTGGGCTGCAGGCCTGTGCACCCTGCCACTGGCCTGCAGTGAGCTGACCAGTGAGGATGGCCAGCCACATGCAGTCCCAGTACTGGGATGTGCCTCTGAAGGTGCCGCGAGGGAGGAGAAGGCAGACTGAGGTGGTCCCGGGAGAGGTTATGGCCTCCGGGGTCCTAGAGGGAAAAGAGTGGAGGAGCCCGGGAACAGAGAGGCTGCTGTGCTGGCTGGTTGTAAGGGGAGTGTCGGTGTTTGTAGAGAGGGATAGAAGGGAAGCCAGGGCCTTCTGGGCGGGGCAGGCATGGGGACAAAGGGCTGGCAGCGCCCCAGAGCTGGATGGAGAATGACCCGGAGCAGGGCCACGGGCTGGGAGACTGGCCATTGTCCTGTCTCAAGACAAATGAGCACCTGGCAGATAATGGGCCCAGAGGACCCTGAGTGGCCAAGAGAAATACACAAGAGCTGCTTGCCACCTGGATCCATGGGGCTGCCATGTCCAGAAAGAGGCCACCCGGGGTTGCAGCTGGCCAAGTGGATGACTTTGGCTGTGAAATTTGACCTTGTGATGGGGACTGAGCTCCCAGGGAGTGAGACAAACTGCCTCCCTGCATTGGTAACCAATAAAACCAACTTTGTTTTACAGCCCTGAGAAACTGCTCACTAATAGCCAGAAAGATGCTTCTCCGCCTCGAGGTTTAGCGAGCAAAGATTTTCAACCGAAATAGCTGCTTTTTCCTTTTCTTTTTTTTCCTCCAGAACCAAGTCCAAGTGTCAGGGATGCCCGCGTGGTACCAGGTAGGGGCTGTGACAAGGGAGATACGCACCGAGCTGTTGCAGGCCTTGGGTGGAGGCCCCCACTGAGGCCTTGCTCTGGGGGACCCCAAAGGGTCTGTGAGGCTTTTCTCCCATGGCAAGCGTCGGGCCTGCTCTCTGTCCGCATCGTGCTGCCAGCAGTCTGGCGAGAGGCCAGCTCCGTGCCTGCCTACCAGCACCATCCACGTCCCTGTCCACCCTGCGTGTCTGCCCTGCTAACCACGCCCTCCAGGCACCCAGAGAGTCAGTGTGGGACTCACCAGGCCCTCCAGGCACCCAGAGAGTCAGCGTGGGAAGAGGGCTGCGATGTGGCCTAACGGCCCCGTGCTGGCAGTGGGAGGCAGACCTGGCTGGGTGCGCCCGAACGGCCCCCTGTGGGTGGAGCTTTGGCCGCCCTCCCTCTCCGTTTTTGGATGGCCGGCTGGTGCTCAGCTCTGTGTTCTTTTTTTTTTTTTTCCTTTTTGTCTTTTTTACTGACCGGTAACGGGATCGCAACCCTCGGTGTCGTGCCCGTTCCGGGGACCGACAACGGGATCGCAACCCTTGGTGCTGCGCCCACACTGCGCTCAGCCTGTGAGCAGGAACTGGTCTCCACATGGGATCCGAACCCTCGGCGGGAGCGCCGCCGCGCTCCCAAGCGGCGCACTCTCCAGTGCACCACCGGGCCGGCCCAGCTCTGTGTTCTTAACACCCCGAGACCCTATTCTGCTCACCTTTGCTTAGAAATTGACGTTTTCATTTTGCTTGGGGGGTGGGCCGGGCTGGCACATCAGCTGGCATTGGGGCCTCTGCCCACCCCCTCCGGGCCCCGGCTATTGCTGGGTTGTCCCAGTGGTGGGAGGCCCAGCTCGCTCTTGGGCACTGACAGTCGCACAGTCCAAAAGTCTCCGTGTCCGTCCAGCTTCTGTCCGAGAGTCCTTTTTAATCTCTCCAGGGGCTGCTCTTCGGAACACTCGGCTGGCGTCCTGCAGTCTGTACTTTCTGATAACAGAGGAGCCACGTTCCAATGTATTAAACTTTTAACATCCACCAGATTCAATTAATCTTATCTTTACAACTCCCAATTACAGGCGGTAATTAAGTGAAAGCAGCATTGTAGACTGGGGATATTGCATTAATCATCACAGCCTTGCAGCCGTAAATTAGTTCCTTCCAGTCCTCCGGCATCTTCCCAGAAGGAATGGAATGTCTCATTTCCCTGTTGTTGGGGGGGTGGGGTGGGGTGGGGAATGGGACATTAATCCCACAAAGCTGTTTTGGATTGGGATTAATTTTTATCATCTTTGTGTAAATGATAAAAGGCCATTTAAAAAAGAATAACCTCAACTTTGTTCAGACAATGGAAAATTCTCTGAGGACAGCGGAGTTGAAGGTTCTTAGGTTGCCTTGGTCAGGGGCCCAAAAATTAATTATTTGCATCCTGTTAGATTAGAGATTACATGATGTCCATGATGTTTGCCTTATCGCCCACCCCACCCCCTTTTTATTTTATTAAAAAATAAACCTCTTGATCAGAATGGGCTTCAACAACTGCAGAGCCTGGGCAGTACTTTGTTTTTTTACATTTTTTCCTTGTCTTGCTTCCTGCACTGTAAGAGTTGGAGGGAGAGGCCATGTTACATATTCTCTAAGCAGACTTGACTTGTTCTAGAATGAGAGATGTTGGAATTGTTATTCCAGAGCAAGGTTTCCTCAGCCCTGTCGACACGGGGCCGGGTCATGCTCTGTGTGGGGCCACCCTGGGCACTGCAGATGCTGAGCAGCGTCCCTGGCCTCCACCCACTCCATGCCAGGAGCGAGCACCCCCCAGTTATGACAACCACAAACGTCCCCAGACTTTGCCAGTGTTTCCCTGGGGGCAGGATCACCCAGGTGGAGAACCCCTGTGCTGGTGTTGCTCCCAGACATCAGGAGGCAGGCGGGACTGGGCATCCTGTAAGGACGGAGCTCTGACTGCCCTCCCTCTCTTCCTCTGAATACCCCTCGGGCACTCAGCTCTCTGTGTCCTGAAGGACCCGAGGCCCTCGTCTGCTCACCTTCACTTGGAAGCTGAGGTTCCCATTTTGCTTGAGTCCTCGGGGGTGGGCTGGGCTTGCACGTCAGCTGGGTCAGGGCTCCTCGGCCCCCCAGGCTGTAGCTTCCATTGGTGTGTGCCAAGAAGAGTCATGGCCTGCGGTACTGCCAGCTTCCGTGCACAGCCTTAATGGCATGTCACTCCCACTGAGTCTGTTTGCAGACTTGCCCCTTACATCCTTCTTATTGATGCTGGAGCCTCATGATCTTTTCAATGTAAAATGTGTAAAAATGAAATTTACGAAGTGGGTGACAAATGAAATGTTTCTCCTTCTTGAAGCTTCTTTTCCCTGTTGGCTCCTGTGGCAGGGAAATGGATGGAACAGCCTGGGGAACAGGCCGGTGTCAAAGGGAGGCTGAGATTCTTCCTATTCTAGATGCTGGGAGTGCCCCCGACCTGCTAGTCCAACCCACTGCTTTCTATTGTATTTTTTGCTTTTTTAGCCTCATCGAGGTTTAGTGCCACTTAACTGGGAATGTCTCCACTGCTGGCCTTCCGAGAATGCCGTCACAAGCCACCGAGTCCGTGGCCCTCTCCTCGCTCCTCCAGCCTGCCCTCCTACTTCCTCGGGGAAGTGTGGCCTGCCAGCCCCCTCCCGCTGCCACCCACCTCCTTGCAGTGCTGACCACCAGTGCAGTTCACTTCTGCCCCGAGCGTCATCTGGGCCTCCCCAAGGTTGTGCCTGCCCCAGGGATGCCCACATGAGTGTCAGCACGCGATCTCGCCTCTGACCTGCCTCCGTTCTCTCGTAGGTACGCCATCCCACCAGAGCACGGCAAGCGGCTGGAGCGGCTGGCAATCGGTAGGTGTCTGCGCCCGTGAGCCCCTGGGACCTGGGAGCTGGGAGCTGGGCAGGCCGGGGAGAGCAGCTGGTGCCCAGCTCGGGTTCTGCTGCAGTTTGGGTTCTGGTTTGGGGAGCTGTGGCGCTCTTTGAGACGTTGCTGTCCTGTTTTCCATTTCTTTTTGCCCAGGCAGTGGGATCCTTTGCTGCGTGGTTGTTCTGCATGAATTCTGTGCAGGATGCAGTTGCTCTATATGCTCCTGCTTTCTGGTATCTTAGAACAAAGTTGTCGGACCTGCTGCGGGACCCTGGAAGCTGGCCTGGGTGGCCTCTTACTTCCCTCCCAGCTCCGGGCACCATGTGGGGCCCTTTTCTTGTTCCATCTAGGAAAGGAGGCAGGCTGCCTGGCAGTTCTGTCACCTGCGTTAGGAGATGGTGTGGGGACCACAAGGACATCTGTTCTGTACTGCTAGGACCTGACTGGCCTAGGTGCCCTCAGCAAGTGTCCTTGCTTTTGATGCCATTGACCTGCATCCAGGCCCTATCTGGGGGTTCCTGGGGCTGAGGGGGTTGTCAGAGAGGGTCCCAGGCAGTGCTGGTGAACAGGGGGGTGCTTGCCACAGGGGGTAATGGCAGAACCTCAGGTTGTGGGATGCTCAGAAACAAACCAGAGGCACCTGGGCAGGTGGAGGGAGTGAGATCCCAACAGAAGCCCAAATTTCATGGCATCGGGTGGCTTAGAAGTGCCTGGCAAGACATGAAAAGACACACTGGCTAAAATGGCCTCTCCCTCGTTCTCTGAGCTCAAGAGCCTGCCCTTAAACACAGCCACACTGTGCTGGCAAGGCGCAGTGGCCTCTGTGTCAGGCAGGACGGCGAGGACCTGTTGTTCCAGGAGTCACTCTGCCAGCACTGACAGGGGCTGTCCAATCATCTGGCCTCTCACAGCAACAGCTCCAGATGCCCCTGCACTCCTGAGGCAGCCAAGGGCTTTTCTGGAACCCCCCACTCAGCTCTAGCGCAGTCTGCCCTGACTGGCCAGGCTGTTCTCTGTCCCCTCCTCACCTTTGACCTGTAGAACGCCCACCACGGGCTCTCTTTCACCTTCCCACTGGCCATTTAACTTTGGAAATGGGAACAGTCAGTCTTTCTGGAAAAAAAGGGGTCTCTTGTCCCAGAGGCTGCCCCAGGAGCTGCTCTTCAGCAAATACTTACCAATCACGAGCACCACAGATCCATGGAGAACAGAAGGGAGTCTTGCTAGTAGATGCCCTCTCCCAGCCCCGCACACATCTGCCTTCTGGGTCGTGCTTTGCTGTTTTAATTTGAGCATTTCTGTTGGAAACTTGGACCCAGTTCTGTGGGAAGGGCCAACCCCTGGTCTCAGGAGCATTCTTCTCATAGAAATTGTATAGTTACAGGTAGTCCACAGCAAAGGTCCGTTTCACTTACATATTTTTTTATAGAGCTTTATAGCTCTAAAATAAAAGCCAAATTAAAACAATTTTTTTTTTAAATTGTATTTTTTGGGCTGGCTGCTTAGCTCAGTTGGTTAGAGCAGGGTGTTATAACACCAAGGTCAAGGGTTCAGATCCCCTTGCTGGACAGCCACCGAAACAAAACAAGCAAAACTTTATATTTTTAAAAAGTAAATACAAATTTCAAATACAAATTTTAATTTTAAAATGTAAGTTGAAAACGTTTACCCCATTGTATTAGTTTTCTGGTGCCATTGTAATAAATGACCACAAAGTTAGTGGCCTAAAACAACACAGGTTTATTCTCTCATGGTTCCGGAGGTCACAAGTCAAAATGAACCTTAAGGGACTAAAGTCAAGGTGTGGGCAGGGCTGGTCCCTCCTGAAGGCTCCAGAGGAGGACCCATGTCTTCCTTTCCCAGTTTCTAGAGGTGCCTGCAGCCCTCAGTACATGGCCTTTTCCTCCATCTGCAAAGCCAGCAGCGCAGCATCTTCCAGTCTCTCTGCCTCTGACCCTCCTGCCTCCCTCTTATGAGGACCCTGTGAGGACATTGGCCCCCACAGATAACCCAAGATGATCGCCCATCTCAAGGTCCTTAACTTCATCCCATCTGCAGAGTCCCCTTCACTGTGTCAGGTGATATTGACAGGTTCCAGCAATTAGGATGTGGGCACCTGGGGGGGCCATTTTTCAGCTGACCACATCTATAAAGCCACAGTAGAAAAGCATCACAGATGGGCTGGCCCGGTGGCTCACTGCTACAGTGCGCCGCTTGGGAGTGCGGTGGCGCTCCTGCCGAGGGTTCGGATCCCACATACAGACCGGTTCCC